ATGCCCTGCCATTCAATTTAGATGTAGCTTGAAGGGGCACGGATGGCAAGGAGGGAGTTTTGAGAGACGATGTCTCACCCCTAGAGAGATAGCTGGCTAGCGTCTCTCTATAGGGGCATCTTCTCATAACCCTTTTGCGCATCGCCTCGAAGTTGGCATAACTTGTATGCTGGAATCGATGGATGCGTGAGGAAAAAACGGCCTCTTCCATTCCTTCTCAATGTTTATATGGAAAACAGGAAGAAAGGAAGGCTCACCTGAGCTGGAGGGTTATGGCCAGAAAAATAACGTTCATCGAGATATTTCGCGACGTCACTATCTTCACGGCAAGTAAAGCCTCGCCGTGGCGCGATCCATAATTCCCAAAAAGCTCATCATACGCAGGGCAGGAGGATTGGGAAGGCTCAGCCTGAGCTTCTTTGCCCTCCTCAGACATTTCCTGCTTTTGCTGGGCTGATCCCAGCAGAGCACTGGCCCCTGAATCAGACAATGTTAATGAAATAACATCATCCTCCAGCGGCTCACTCTCGTGCACAGCCGACGATCGCGAAAGAGAAAACCCCTCTTCAAACTCATCGGCCAGATCCACCTGCGATCCCCACGAGCTCATTCCCTTCCATGCCTCAGCAGCGGCGGGTCTTGAATCGCGGGAAGCACATTGCTGCCCCTCTTTCCTCGAAAAGAGAGACAAACGAGAGCGGAGCTTTTTTTCCTTGGAAAACGCTCGCAGTGCACGCCGATTGCCCCCTCGGAGGCATCGCGTGCGTGCTCTTCGCCCAAACAAATAACATATAGATCGTGTGTGTCATCTGGTGTCAAATAGCGATGACACGGATGCACACACCTTCTAAATGCTCTGCTAGTGCTCGCCATAATGAAAGAGATAGCTCTTACTTTTTCCTTGGAAATGCACGCTTCAAACAGAACAGTCAATGAAGACGAAGAAGAGAATGATGTGTGCTCCCGGCGCCTATTTATACTATAGTCGCACCGGTAGTGACGTCATGGCTGTCGCCGGCCAACGAGTTGGTGTTTTTTCAATGTATGCTTCAGACACGGGTCACGACGAGGCGTTCCCCATAGCGACCCCTAGAGGACGCAGTTCGAAGTTCCCATGAAAGGGAACATTCTACTTATATGGCTTTGCTTCACCTGATTGACAAGGTTATCCTTGCACTTGAAAATCAAGAATTTACTTGTAGTATTTTTTTTTGACCTGTCAAAAGCTTTTGGTACAGTTAATCATTACATTGTCCATGGTTTCCATGATTTTACATATAAATGGTTGAAGAATTGCATTTTTAATAGAAGACCGTTTGTTTGTTTTAAGGGTTGCTACTCCAGCAAAGCATGTCTACACTGTGGGGTTCCTCAGGGGTCCATACTTGGATCATTGCTATTTCTTATTTATATAAATGACTTGTCAAATGTTTCAAATATTTTTTTTTTCTCCAGTAATGTTTGCTGATGACACAACCTTAGTTATCTCTCACTCAAATTTTAATTCATTGATTAAGAATGCAAATTATGGTCTAAATGTTTATGCTAATTGGTGTAATTTAAAAAAATTAGCTTTAAAAAAAAAAAAAAAAAAAACTTTTATTTTTATTGTTAAAAAATTATACCCTAAGGATTTATCAAAAATTACTATTGAGTTTACTGAGGTGCCTCAAGTGTCAACAACTAAATTTGTGGGAGTTTTTCTTGATGAGACTTTGAGTTGGAGGGAACAAGTCGATTACATGAGCAGAAAAATACATAAATCTACATAATAAGGAGGGTTAATCTTGTTACTACAGAGTGTCTTCTTAAGCTTTACTATAGTTTAATTTATCCTTGTCTTTCATATTGTAATATAGTTTGGGCGAGTACTTTTCCTACTACTCTTCAAAAAATCTTTATTCTTCAGAAGCGTTTTGTTAGGATTGCATCCCGATCAAACATATATACTTCATCTGCTTCTTTATTATATTAAACTTCAGGTTCTTACTATCTATGATATTAATAATTTTAAAATATGTGTATTTATGTCTGAAATCCTGTGCTGTCCAGCTGGCCCCCATCTTCACACAGATCTTCAACAGATCACTGGAGCTGTGCGAAGTCCCTTCATGCTTCAAACGCTCCACCATCATCCCCGTCCCAAAGAAACCCAAAATTACGGGACTTAATGACTACAGACCTGTGGCTCTAACGTCTGTGGTCATGAAGTCTTTTGAAAAACTGGTGCTGGCCCACCTGAAGGACATAAAACCCAAAGATCATGCATGATTCTACGCAGATGAAGTTAGTTTATAATAAATTATTAACTTTATATGTATCTGCACTTGACTGTATTATATACACATGCATATAAGCATGGTATTTATACCATATTACATATGTTTTATTTACTCGGACAAACTATTTAATTTCTAAGCGATTAAGTTACACATCGGTTATGTTTTGCCTACGCATGTCGGTGTATTATGAGAAACTAAAATTGTTGAATCTCATAAAATTAGTACCCAGGCAGAATTCCTTCAAAAGACATAGACGATGTTACGGTCTACTCGTTATATTGAGCGTTACGGCGGAAACTCTCTCATTCAATGATTGTGTGGCTCTTAAAAGAGCCTTTGGGGTGTAATGCGGCTGAAGCAGCGGCGGGGTTAAGGGCGCGCTCCCCGGGTGCGGCGGGCCAGCTGGATGTCTTTGGGCATGATGGTGACTCTCTTGGCGTGGATGGCGCACAGGTTGGTGTCCTCAAACAGACCGACCAAATAAGCCTCGCTGGCCTCCTGCAGGGCCATGACAGCGGAGCTCTGGAAGCGCAGATCCGTCTTGAAGTCCTGAGCGATTTCTCGCACCAGACGCTGGAAAGGCAGTTTGCGGATCAGCAGCTCGGTGGACTTCTGATAGCG